TGGGGCCCGTGCATAGCACGGGCAACATTATCTAGTTTACACTTATAAGAATGAGTGACAAGAATTTTAAATAATAATAAATATTGAACCCGTACTAGCACGGGCTCCTGTATCTAGTATATATATATATATATATATATATATATATATATATACAAAAAGTCATTTGATAAGGTTTTTTTTTCCTATTTAATGGACCACATATAATAGGACCAATAAATATTAAATATGAACATCAAATGATCGTGAAAATCCTGAAACAGGACCAATAAAATATTAGATATGAATATTGATGAAACGAATGAGTGGTAAATTACAACATAGTTATCCTTCTGTGTAATAAATAAAAATAATGTATATTAGGTACATAATTGGTCCATACCTCCCAAAAGAGAGGTATAAAACGTGGTAACAAATTGTTATGTTATTAATAAATACAAATTATAGTACATGGTCCCAACAACTACGTGTTGCTTCACTTAATTACCAAACTCAAATTAATTGATTAGAAATACAAATTGAAAAGAGCATTTGAAATACATATACATTTGTAGACACACAAATTTTATTGGATTTAATTCATACAAAATTTGGATTAAATCCATGTTTATTTGGGTTGAATAATTCATTTATTGATAATTTTCAATCGTAATTAATTAATGACAACAACTTAATTGTCGCTATATATATAACTACTACCGATAAATATTTTAACACTATTTATTAATATACATATTTATTGCTGCTAAAAGTTATTTTTATCGTAGTGATTTAGTTTATGTTGTTCAAATGAAAGAATTATAAAACATGAATACTGAAATAACTAAACTACATAGTAACAATGCATTGTGCGGGGGTGGGGGGGGGGGGAATTAATTTAACGAACTAGGAAAAAATTATTTTAACTTTTTACTTGTTATAAAAGTGCTAGAACATTATCTATTAAGATAGTTTCTTTAAAGTTACTAAATCTTCAAGATAGTAAATGAAAATGGTTCAATCAGAACTAATACAATTTCTTACATACTTTCTAATTGGGCTCTAAAAAATAAAAATTTAAGTCATTATTTATTATCAATAAATGAATTTAATTATATGAATTTTATTTTTAATATCAAACTTAACTAGAAAAGAAAAATATTAAAAAATTTATGCCGGACAGCGCGGGTTGAAAATGAAAAAAATTATTGTGCAAGGCAAATTAAATTTTTTGCGAATTTAGCTCAACTTACCCCATCCCGCCCCGCCCCACTCGACACCGCTCCATCGCCATCCCTAGCTCTTTTGGATGGATATGGACAACCATTGCAATTTTATTTATTTTGTCTTATTTCTTATTAACAATCTATATTTATATTATATTAAAAAAAATCCTTAAACAAAAAATTAAATTAGTAAAATGTCCTTCTCAAAAATCTTAATAATATTTTAATAAAAAATATTCAATAAATATACCAAATTTATTTGAAAAGATGTGATCCTTCTTAATAGTCATGGGGCATTAGGTCATGAGTTTTTTCCAGAGTTCAACTCCGGAAATCATGTTTTACCATAAAAAAATAATTGAGAACAAACTTCAAGTTGTGAATTTCAAAATTTTTAATATTTCAAAAAATATCAAAAAGTTGTTTTCAACTTTTACACTCCAAATTTTACTCACAAGAATTTACAAACAATTCTAATTTTTAATTATTATTTTCACATTGAGTGTGAAGGAGTATGCTTTGAAGTTTACTCAATTGTCTAAGTATGCTTCGACTATGGCTGCCGACTCTAGGGAAAGGACGAGCAAGTTTGTGTTGGGTTTGTCCAAAATGGTGGTGAAGGAGAGTCATACCGCCATGTTGATTAAGGAGATAAATATCTCCCATATGATGATACATGCCCAACAAATTGAAGAGGAAAAACTAATTATGATAGATCTTCTATGCCTACTTACACGACGTATGGTGAGAAACATAATGAAAAATGCTTGGCCGGTATGGATAGTTGCTTTAATTATAGGAAGAGTGGTCTCAAGATGAGAGATTGTCAATTGCTTGCTTCTAAGGGAAAGGATGGTAAGTACACCCAGCCTAGTGGTTCTAGTTTGGGTGCTCCTCGTCAGAATAGGTTCTATGCACTTCAGACTCGTAGTTGACAATGAAAAATTTATGCCAGACGGGGGGGAATTGAAAACGAAAAAAATTATTATACAAGGCAAGTTAAATTTATTACGGATTAAGCTCAACTCACCCCACCTCGCCCCACTTGACACTGCTCTATTGCCATCCCTAGCTCTTTTGGATGGATATGGACAACCATTGCAATTTTATTTATTTTGTCTTATTTCTTATATATTAACAATCTATATTTATATTATATTAAAAAGAAAAATCCTTAAACAAAAAATTAAATTATTAAAATGTCCTTCTCAATAATCATAATAATATTTTAATAAAAAATATTCAATAAATATACCAAATTTATTTGAAAAGATGTAATTCTTCCGAATAATAAGGGAGCGTTTGGTTAAGATCTTTTTCTAGAGTTCAACTCCGAAAATCATGGTTTACCATAAAAAAAATTGAGAACAAACTTCAAGTTGAATTTCAAATTTTTCAATAATTCAAATAATATCAAAAAGTTGTTTTCATTTTTTACACTCCAAATTTTACTCAAAAAAATTTACAAACAATTCTAATTTTTAATTATTATTTTGACATTGAAAACAAAAATTACTTAATTAAAATACTAAATTTTTTTAGTCAAACGCCCTTTTACAATGTTTAAAAATAAGAAAACAGTTATTGCAATTTTTTATTAGTGATCAACACATTTTTCATCCCTATGAATAATAATGTATGGTCATTATTTATATTCACTATTTATTGGTTCCATTATCTGTGTGGGGCAGGGGCGGCTCTTATGTCTATAATTATTGATTAACAAAAGTTAAACTACTTTTTTTTTTAAATTCTAAACAATCTTAACAATACTTTTTATAAAAATAATATTTTTTCTCTCACCATTTTCACAGTGTGTACAATGTAATTCATCACATTAACAATATTTTCCTAGAAAATGTTTTCTTGAAAAACAAGTGGATTTCTAATTTATTTTCTCATTTTCATTGGTGAGTAGAAAATATTTTTAATGTTTGGTTGGTGAATGAAAAATATATTTTTTAAAATATCTTTTATTTTTGGCTTGAGACTAATACTCCTTAGGAAAATAGTTTCTGATCCGAAAATCAATCACGATAATTGATCTAGGACCCGATCCCGACATCCAAACTAGGACAAGGCTCCGATGATCGTTCCAAAATACGACACTGAGATTTGACCCAGACTTTCGACCCAGGTAAAAAAAAAATCAAAAACAATTTTTTTTTAAAAAAAAATTACTGGCTTGAGACTAATACTCCTTAGGAAAATAGTTTCTGATCCGAAAATCAACCACGATAATTGATCTAGGACCCAATCCCGACATCTAAACTAGAACAAGGCCCCGATGATCGTTCCAAAATACGACACTGAGATCTGACCCAGACTTTCAACCCAGGAAAAAAAATTCAAAATCAATTTTTTTAAAAAAAAAAATTACGGAATCGCGCAGGGTAAGGGGTAGAGTAAAAACGAAAAATTTTTAATTCCAAAAATAATTTATTTTTTAAAAAAAATGATGGAGATGGCATGGGTGGGTGGTGGGATAGGGGTGGGGGTGGCATAAAAATGATTTTTTTTTTAAATTTGAAATATTTTTCAAAAATAATTTCTTTTTAAAAAAAAACTTTGACGGGGTGGCCTGGGGGTAGGGATGGGAGTGGTGTAAAAAATGAAAATATTTTAAATTTGAAATACTTCCCAAATATATTGTTTTACAAAAAAAATAAAATTGACGGGAGTTGGCGAGGGAGGGTGGTAGGGGGTGGATGAGGTAAAAAAATCTTAAGATTTGAAACATTTCACAAATATTTTTTTAATTTTTTTTTTGTTTGATTGGGGGGGTGGGTGGGGAGTTGGAGGTAGGGATAAACATATATTTTAAATTTAAAAATAAGAAAATTTTAATTATTTTTTTTTTGCATGGGGAGGGTCGGGTACAGGGTATGAGTAGGGTAAGGAAAAAAAAATTAAAGGATGAAGTAGCGTCTTGGAAAATGTTTTCCTTAATTTTGGAAGGGAAGTCATTTTCCTTAAATTTGAGGAAAATGAGTTGATTTGAAAAACATTTTCCAAACATTTTAAGTCAACCAAACAAGGAAAAATTGGAAAATGTTTTCCTCCGTGCCAAACTCACCCATAGTGTAATATGATATTTATTTACAAAATATAAATAATACATATTGTTATTTGTTGTCCTTTAATTTTTCTCAAATTGTTGTTCAATTATGTAATTCCCTTTACTTATCGTAGAAAATGTAAATGACCATTATAATAAACCATACAAATATTGTTTTTATAAATTAAATTTTGTAACTTCATATATCTCTATAAAAATATATATTTAGCTACAGTTAATAATTATCGTTAATTAATTGGCACTAAAAATTAGTTTTTATGTAACTTATATTTATTTCAAAATGCTCTTTTCAATTTGTTTTTCTTATCAATTTGATTTTTAAGTACCTAAGAAAGGTTTCATTTAAAAGTGTTGGTTTATAATAAGGTAAATGGTCAGAGTGTTTATGATGGTTGTTAGTATTGTGAGTATGATTCACTAGATATACTGTCGTGTGTTTTCACTTTTGTGGGTGGATCCCTAGTGGTGGATCAGGGGTACCAATCCTGCGATGTTCTCTTGGTTGAGTGGGATAATTGGGAAGACTTGGTTATTTCAGATGACATATTTGGCATTGTCTTGAGTTGTTAAAATATTTCAGTGGTTCTACATGTACCACCTTGCTTATGAAAATTCATAGAAGAGCTACCACGCATAATTATGGTTGTCCGACAATCTTAATATTCATCTTGTGGTAAAAGTCATGTAATGATTATGTGTGGTTGAATGTGGGGATCATTGGGTCAAATTCTACTGTTGTTAAGGGTAATCTACAATCACAATTGCTAAATCTAGCATTCGATAGTGTGGTTAGAGGGTTTGTATGCTTGGACATATCCTTCAATGAGTATCTGATGTCTAAAGATCAAATTTTTATAACTTAAGCTTATGGAAATTTATGTTGTGAGATGGAGATGTTGATTTGCTTGGGGTATTATGAGTGTGTGTTGGTTGGTTCAGGTTCACTTCTAATCGTAGAGAGTATTGATTTTGAATTTTATCATGCTTAAGTGCTAAAGGATTCGTCCGGATGATTGTGTCAAATTCCTTGATAACATGTTGCAGACGTGTGTATGATCAACTGTGGTGGTTGTTGGGAATCACTTTTTGTTGTTAGTTAAGTTTACATACAACAATATTTATCACCCGTGTATTGAGATGACTTCAATGAGGCATTGTATGGGAGAATGTGTAGGTATTCAATTGGGTGGTTTGAGGTTGGAGATGTGAAACCCTTAGGGGGTAATGAGATTCGGTAAGAAGGACATGCGAGACAAGTATCCCTAGTTGTTCGTCGATTCAGGTACTACACTACTCTAACTTTAGCCTTTTTCCTAGTTTGTCACTCGGGGACGAGTGATGGGTAAATTGTTATCTATTATAACGACCGGTTTCGGTCATTATAGAAAAACCAACGGGAAAAATTTTTAGGCCGGAAAACTTTTTCGTAGTAACATGGAATTTTCCAACCTAATGTAGATTTGAACGAAATCGGAGTCAGTAAGGTCTAGGGAAATCTGGTAACAATTGGGTGATCTAACTATGATTTTGATCACATGAGTAGATAACTAAGATGTTAAGGAACTCGTGTGACTTTACGGAATTGAATTCGGGTTGGTAGAACTCCCGAAACTAATCTTAGCGTGAACGGGTAGTTTCTGAGTGTCATGGGTTGAAGATGTGTTGTGAAATGGGGGTTTGGAATTCTTAAATTTGCTCACTGGTTCCGTGCAATCCGCTGTGGTGGGATTATTTCCGCTAGGGCTGGGCTGCTGTAGCGGAATAAGGTTCGATGTGGCGGGACAGTCGCGATTTAAGTCGAAAATAAACCCCAAAAACGTTTTATTCTTCACTTTTCTACTTTGAGAGCTAAGGAACGACCCCAGGGGTTTTCATGACAGTTTTCCACCATTCTTGAGGCTAAATGTAAGGTTTTCACTCTCCGAATCCATTTTTTGATCCGTAGAACTTGGTTTCTTAGGTGATTATTGTTGGGAAAAGGTTTTGGAACTGTTTGGATGGTGAGAAAAGCCCTAATTTGAATATTGGAATCATGGGTTTGATCTAGGGTTGATAGAGTTGATTGTAATCCGAGTAATTAGACATCGTTTATTGATTCCCGTGTTATATTGATTGTTTTTAGACCACGAAGAAACGGGAAGAATCCGTAAATGGAAGATTTAAGTGCCTTAGGGGATTCAAGCTCAGATTCAAGGTAGGTGATGGTTGTATGATATATGTTTGTACTTGCTTTATTATAATGTATGTATGCGAATGTTGCATTATTGATCACACTAATCGTGAATGAGGATAATTGAATGTCATGAATCATAGCTTGATTGTATGATTATGAAAATGTACTTGTGATTGTTATTGTGGCTTGTTGAATGGATCAGGTGTTATGTTCCAACACACTAAATAGGATCGGTTGCCACGTATCGGCATAAACATTGGAACCGGTGTCACGATCCGAATCACTAATTGGGATCGGTTGCCACGTACCGGCATAAACATTGGAGCGGGTGTCACGATCCTACACACTAACTTGGATCGGGTACCACGTACCGGTACACTAACAATTTGGGTATGGGTTCCATGAGAGAACTATTGAATTGGGTTCTATGAGAGGACCATTGAATTGTGTTGTGTATCTACTTGTGATGATTACGTTCATATCTAATGGTGATTGAGGTTGAAAGACTATTTGTTGCTCTGAAATGATAATCAATGTGTATTATTGAGAACGTGGAATGTTACATTGATCCTGAAAAGATAACTGATATTGTATATGTTCGGTATATGCTTGTTTTATAATGTTGTGGTTACTTGCAGTGGCGGATCCATTAATTTACGGCTATGGGTTCTCACTATTTTTAAGTTATATCAACCAAAGAGCATAATTGCGAGCTAAAATTTGTCAGCATAGACGTTATTTTTTTTTTCAATTCAATGCAATAGACAATCGGAATATTTGGATTGGTTCAAGAAAAAAAGGAGGAGAAACAATATACCTTCACATACAATTGTAGTTACCAATAAGGCAAACCAGCGAGAAGGAAGACTTTTTCGCTTTTGAATTGGAGAACTAAAATAAAGGCGCTAGAACAAATTATTTTTTTCCTCCCCTTTTATTTTTCCTAATTAGACTAATGAGAAAGAAAAAGTTAATAGACATGGAAGATCATGACCGTTTATATTTTTTTGAGATTAAGTTACATAATAGACATGAGCAGTGACCGATTCAAGATTTTAAGATCGTGGTTACTTTTTAAGCTATCAATCATAAAATATAAATGTATAAATTTAACACTTGTCATAAGAAAGATAATTATATTTATATAAGATAGCGAAAAAATCAATAAGAAAAATTATCTTGAAAAAAGAATATTGTTATAGAAAAATTAGAAATGGAACAATTCGTGAAAAGGGAAAAAAGAAATATTGGATGCTCGCCTTTTAATTTATACAATACTGCCTTAATTTTGATATAAGTATATATAGTTCGATGCGAGCTTAATGGGTGCTCGAGCACCCGGACAGCCCTATGTGGGTCCGCCCCTAGTTACTTGCATGTGTTTCACTTATTGGGATAGATGTGTGATCCTACCAGTACATTATGATTGTGTACTGATACTGCACTTGCTTGTTCTTTGTTGAGTACAGAACATCTTCAGGTGACTATTGATAGACCTCAGCTAGGTGACTATTGAGCGTGATCGGATTCAAGTGTGAGCCAGTTCTTTCAGGCTGCCATGAATCTCTCTTGTTTAAGTCCACTCTTTTCGGACTCAGACCTATTTTTTTAAGGTGTTGTTTAGTTTCGGGGTTGTACCCCTTGTTCTAGACTTGTCGTTAGTAGAGTTTTGGTAAATTGACTTTCAGGTAATAAGAAAGAGGTTAATTCAAATGGCTTACTCCCCTTTTATTTTTTATTAATTTCACATTCAAACTTATGATATTCAAATTCTGAATCCGCTACAGTTTCTAATAATTCTTTCATTTGAATGAATGCCATATACAATCTATTTTTCAGAATGCTCATTTGGAGTTTGTAGAAAATTTAAATGTTAAAGAGAAAGTTGTTGTTGGAATGATGTACTATATAACACTTGCGACAATTAATGTTGGAAAGAAGAAAATATATGAGGCTAAGATTTGGGTGAAAGAATGGGAGGACTTCGAGAAAGTCGTAGAATTCAAGCTTGTTGGCGATGATAGTGCAAAACTTGGGGGCATTATCAATGTTTCATTTCCAAACAACCCCGAGTTTCAAGATCTTGCTTGTTTTGCTATGCAGGATTATAATAAGACACATGTCAATTATAATGAATTACTCTTTTATTTTTTTCGTTAATTTACCATTAAAATCTATAATATTCAAATCTTGAATCTATTTCAGTATCTAACAATTCTTTTATTTGAATGAACGTCCTATACAATCCACTTTTCAGAATGCTCATTTAGAGTTTGTAGAAAATTTGAACGTGAAAGAACAACTTGTTTCTGTAACACTTGCGGCAACTGATGCTGGAAATAAGAAAGAATATGAAGCTAAAATTTGGGTGAAGGAATGTGAGGACTTCAAGAAAGTCATAGACTTCAAGCTTGTTAGTGATAATAGTGCAAAAATTGGGGGCATTATCAATGTTCTATTACCAAACAACCCTCAGTTTCAAGATCTTGCTCATTTTGTTGTTCAGAAATATAATAAGAACCAGGTTATTTACAATGACTTATTCATCTTCTATTTTTTTCTAGCTAACTGTACATTCAAACCTAAAATATTCAAATCCCGAATCCATTACAGTATTTAATAATTCTTTTATTTGAACGAATGTGATATACAAACTTTTTTTTTCCAGAATGCTCATTTGGAGTTACTAGAAAATTTGAATGTGAAAGAACAACTTGTTTCTGGAATGATGTATTATATAACATTTGCAGCAACTGATGCTGGAAAGAAAAAAATATATGAAGCTAAGATTTGGGTGAAGGAATGGGAGGACTTCAAGAAAGTTGTTGAATTCAAGCTTGTTGGTGATGATAGTGCAAAGCCTGGGGGCATTATCAATATTCCATTCCAAACAACCCCGAATTCCAAGATCTTGCTCGTTTTGTTGTTCAAGATTATAATAAGAAAGAGGTTAATTAAAATGACTTACTCTTTTTTAATTTTTTCATTAGTTTCACATTCAAATCTATAATATTCAAATTCTAAAACTATTGTAGTATCTAATAATTCTTTCGTTTGAACGAACGTCATATACATTTTTCAGAAAGCTCAATTGGAGTTTGTAGAAGTTTTGAATGTTAAGGAACAAGTTGTTGCTGGAATGATGTACTATATAACACTTGCGGCAACTGATGATGCTGGAAAGAAGAAAATATATGAAGCTAAAATTTGGGTGAAGGAATGGGAGGACTTTAAGAAAGTCATAGAATTCAAGCTTCTTATTGGTGATGATGTCCCAATACTTGGAGGCATTATCAATGTTCAAGGCATAAACAACCTTGTGTTCCAAGATCTTGCTCGTTTTGCTATTCAGGATCATAATAAGAAAGAGGTTAATTATAATAACTTACTCATTTTTAATTTATTTTTTTGTTAATTTTACATTCAAACTTATAATATTCAAATCCTGAATCTACTGCAGTATCTAATAACTCTTTCATTTGAATGAACGTCATATACAATCTATGTTTTAGAAGTCTCATTTTGGAGTTTGTAGAAGTTTTGAATCTAAAGGAACAAGTTGTTGCGGGAATGATGTACTATATAACACATGCGACAACTGATGCTGGAAAGAAGAAAATATATGAAGCTAAGATTTGGGTGAAAGAATGGGAGGACTTCAAGAAAGTTGTAGAATTCAAGCTTGTTGGTGATGATAGTGCAAAGCCTGGGGGCATTATCATTGTTCCATTTCCAAACAGCTCCGAGTTCCTAGATCTTGCTCGTTTTGTTGTTCAAGATTATAATAAGAAATAGGTTAATTCAAATTATTTATTCCTCTGTTATTTTTATGTTAGTTTCGCATTCAAACCTATAATATTCAAATCCTGAATTTACTACAGTATCTAATAATTCTTTCATTTGAAAGAATGTCGTATATTCTATTTTTCAGAATGCTCATTTGGAGTTTGTAGAAGTTTTGAATGTGAAAGAACAAGTTGTAGTTGGAATGATGTGCTATATAACACTTGAAGCAACTGATGCTGGATATACGAAAATATACGAGACCAAGATTTGGGTGAAGGAATGGGAGAATTTCAAGGAAGTTTAGGAATTCTAGCAAATTATTTATGCCACAAAGTGAAATGAAACTACTCTTATGTTGGTGTGAAATAAAGTCAGTTGTTTGGTATGAAGTTACAGTTATGCTTGTGTGGAATAAAGCCAGTTGTTTGGCATGAAATTACTGTTATGTTGGTGAAAAATAAAGTCAGATTTATGTATCTGGAAATATTTGAATGTCTTGTTGTAAGCGTATTTGAATGTGTGTTTATGTGATGGTAAATATTGATTGAATTGTCATGCATTGATTAACAGTAAATGAACTAAAGGATAATTTTATCGTTAAACATTTTAATAACGTTATTGAAATACGTACCTATACATTCTTTCTCACATGAAATAATACTCCCTTTAGGTATGTTATACGAACTTTTGTATTAAGAAAGTGTATCAAATGTATTATTATTTTAGTCTTTATACTAACGAAACTGTATACTATGTTTGAATATTGTAAAATGAACTGTGTTTTTCATATATTTGGGGATGAAAAGTATAGTTGTTTACATATTTAATCTTTAATAATTTAATTAACTGAGTAAGTTAGGATTAATGGACCACATATGTTACGGACTTACGGCCAATAAATATTAAATATGAATAAGTCCAAATATTGGATTTATTGGACCACATACGAAGGACCATGCTATTTTCTTATCAATTATCTATCACGTTTTTCACCCCTTTTTAGGGATAGGAATGACAATAAGACGGGGCGGAATGGATTTACGGCTATGTGAAGCAGGGTGCATTTAAAATTGTGCGGCAGAGAGGAATGTGGGGCGGATTGAAGTGAATTTTCTAAAAATTAATGCGGGGCAGGGCAGGTTGCAGATCTATGCGACTTTATGTGTGTTCAAACTTAATTTTAATTTTTTACATGTTATAATGTATAAGAATGATAGAACATTATCTATTAAGAATTTTTTTTAAAAAGTTACTAAAATATTCAAGATAGTAAATAAAAATGGTTCAATCAAAACTAATTCAATTTCTTACATACTTTTCAATTGGGCTCTAAAAAATAAAAATCTAAGTCGTTATCTATTTAATTAATACAACTTAATGAAAAATGAATTTTACTTTTAATATCAAAATTAACTAGAAAAGAAAAATATTTTAAAAATTTACGGGTCGGGGCGGGGCATGTTGAAGATGAAAAAAATTATTATGCGAGGCGAATTAAATTTTTTATGAATTAAGCTTAATCCACTCTGCCTCGCTCTGCACCGTCCCATTGCCATCCCTACTTCTTTTATATGGATATGGACAACCATTATAATTTTATTTATTTTGTCTTATATCTTAATAACAATCTATATTTATATTATATTAAAAATGAAGAATCCTTAAACAAAAATTTAAATTATTACAATGTCCTTCTCAATAATCTTAATAATATTTTAATAAAAATATTAAATAAATATACTGAGTTTATTTGAAAAGACGCGATCCTTCCGAATAATTAGGGGCATTAGGTCATGATTTTTTCCAGAGTTCAATTCCAAAAATCATGTTTTATCATAAAAAATTTAAGAACAAACTTCAAGTTGAATCTTAAAATTTTCAACATTTCGAAAAATATCAAAAAGTTATTTTATTTTTACACTCCAAATTTTACTCACAAAAAATTACAAAAGAAAACAAAAATTACTTAATTAAAATACTAAGAGTTTTTAGTCAAACGCCCTTTTACCATGTTTAATTTTTAAAAATAAGAAAACAGTTATTGCAATTTTTTATTAGTGATCAACACATTTTTCATCCCTCTTTTAGGGGGGATGAATAATACTAATAGTAATATTTATATTCACTATTTATTGGTTCCATTATCTGTGTGGGGCAGGGATGACTCTTAGATCTAAAATTATTGATTAACAAAAGTTAAATTACTAAAGAAAAAAACTAAATAATCTTAACAACATTTTTTATAAAAGTAATAATTTTTTCTCACCATTCCACAGTGTGCACAGTGTAATTCATCCCATTGATATTCATTTACAAGATGATATTTATTTACACAATATAAATAATACATATTGTTATTTGTTGTCCTTTTATTTTTCTCTATTTGTTATTCAATTATTTAATGGCCTTTGCGTATTGTAGAAAATGTAAATGACATTATAATAAACCATACAAATATTGTTCTTATAAATTAAATTTCGTAACTTCATATGAAAGCTATCATATTATCTAATATTTCTGGAATGATTTCAATAATATCATGAGTTTAGTACTAAAAACTTTAAAATAGAATCTATCAAATTCAAATTCATCTACGTCAAAAACTAACATGAATATTGTTTTTATAAATTAAATTTGGCCACTTCATATGAAAGCTATCAAATTAGTATTTAATATTTCTTGCATGATTTAAAAAATATTGTGAATTTAGTAGCAAAAATTTTAAAATAGAATCCATCACATTCAAATGTTAAATTCACTTCGGACAAAAACTAACATGAATACATTAATTGTCTCATTTGGTTGTGGTGCACTGGTGGAAGTGTTTCCCCCTTAACTAGACGTTCTCGGGTTCGAGCCCTGGGTATGGAGAAAATGTAGTTGGGAGTGTCACCCCAAATTTAGATTTAATTGGAACTCCAATGTGGGCTCCGAATGCCGGGTGAGAAAAAAAATAACATTATGTTTTAATTTTTGAAAAATAACATTATGTTTTCATTTTTGAAAAATAACATTATGTTTTCATTTTTTTACCTCACCCAACCTATACCACCTCTACCTCAAAAAAAATTGTTTAGGTTAAATATTTCAAATTTAAGAAAAATTCATTTTTTACGCACCCCACCCAAGCCACACCCTCCATCAATTTTTTTCTTAAAAAAAAATGTTTTTCAAAAATATTTCAAATTTAAATAAAAATCATTTATACGCCACTCGTGTCAAATTTTTCTTTTTTAATTTTTTGTTTTTGAAAGATAATTCAAATTTTTAAAATTTCATTTTTTATGCCACCAGTTCAAAAATTATTGTCCTAAAGAGTATTTTCTAGTCTCAAGCCAAAAATAAAAGATATTTTATGGAAAATATTTTTTCATTCACCAATCAAACATACAAAAAAAAAAAAATTCAGAAAATATTTTCTACTCACCAACCAAACATGAGAAAATAAATTAAAAATTCACACATTTTCCAAGAAAACATTTTCCATGAAAACATTTTCCTTCCTACCAAACACACCTCAAATGATTACAAAATTTGAGTCTTTATTGTATTTGTCTTTTTTTTTTTGGTTATTTGGAAGCCAAAATCCAAATCCATCAAATCAAAATATTTATAACGTGCTAGATTTTCTTCCCCCTTTTTTCTCTATAAAAATCAGCTATAATAAAAATAATATATGCATTAACTTTATGTATGGGTAATATTTCATGTATTAGTAATATCTCTATAAAAATATATATTTTGCTACAGTTAATTATTATTGTTAATTAATTGACACTAAAAATTAGTTTTTTTTATGTAACTTATCTTTATTTCGAAATGTTCTTTTCAATTTGTTTTTCTTATCAATTCATTGGTGTTTTTTGTAATTAAGTGAAGCAACATGTAATTAACATTTATTACTACGTTTTACCGCCCCTCTTTGTGGGGCGGGGGGGGAGCGGGGGGGATGAGATGGCGAGAGGTACGAACCAATTATGTACCTAATATATTACACATGTATCGATAACTATGTTATAATTATCAATATAAATAAATATATAAAAGAATTACCAACATTATGTATAGAGTTTCAAGAGCTAGCTTCGTTATTCGGTTAATGTATATGATTTCTTCATTTTTAATCAATAATTTAAAATCTAAGCCTCCCAAAAAATCATTTGATAGGAAATATTTTTTCATTTAATTCATGATCAATAAATATTGATTATGAATAAGTCTAATTATTGGATTTAATGAGCCACATGTGAAAGGACCAGAAATGCCCCATGAGAAATTGACATAAATATAAAATATTTATTCAACATAAATTGGTTGGTAAAATATGGCCTAAAACAAAACTTAGGCACAAAGTATCCGGATAAAACTAGAGCTGTCAATATGGGCTTGGCCTGTTGGGCCGGCCTGGCCTAACCCGTGATTTGATAGGGTTGGGCTATGATTTTTGGAGCCCATTTAAGAAAAGGGCTTTTTAGCCCGGCCTGAATAAGTCTGTCGATTTGTGGGGCTTGAGAAATATGAATAGGGCTGGCCCGTGGGCCAAATAAAAATTAATAAAAAATAAAAATAAAATAGAGTATTAAAAATAACAGGAGTCTACACTCAAAATCTATTTAAAGTTTGAAATATTACAATTTAAATACAAATTATATTTATAAAATATGTATTGCATAAAATAATGTTCCTAAAAATTTTAGGGAATCACTACATATGTCATAGCCTATGGAATATTATCATAGTTTTTGTGTTTTCTTATGATCATTGGAAAACAATTAGGTTAATATTACTATTTAGTTATTTATGTTTTTACTTGAAATCAAATTTAATAAATATTATATAGATAATTTTATTTGTGTATTTGATTAACAAGTAATAACACTAGTCGATATTTATGATGATATTTTTAAATAATAATTTAATTTAAAAAATTATAAAAAATATACTTTTAAGAAAAGAGGGCTGACCCGGCAAAGCCCTTAGCCCACACACTTGTGGGCTGGGCCGACCATTTTCTGGCCCACATAAAACATGGGCTAATTCGGCCTGGCCCGTCAAATTGCAAAGCTTGTATGGGTTAGTCCGGATGGGGGTGGGTCAGCCCATATTGACAGCTCTAGATAAAACAATGCCTCAATTTTAAGGGTTGATTTTTTTACCAACCGACACTAATTAATTAATTTAATTAGCATATTGATTCTAATTAGCCAAC